GGCGGCGACGATGCCAGGGATAAAGTGGATCTTAGCGTCCAAGAAAGTCGGCTGGACGCAGCTGAGACACTCAGCATTTCGCGGTCTAGAAAGCTACGCGGCACTACGCTGACACCACACTACCTTTTTATTTGATTTTGACCGTCTCGACACTCGTGGCACGCAACTCCCGTGCTCCAGTTTTCCTTTTTCTTCGATGCTATTAGCGCGTGCGAAACAACGGCGTAAAACTTCCGTTCGATCGACGCATCACGATGCATCTGTCCTCGTTGATAATCGAGTATCGCGTCGATCGGGATTTCGCGGTTGCATTTTCCGTACACGCGTTGTCCTAACGCGTATCGTAGTTCCTTCCAAGACACGTGACTCTTCGAGCACTCGACTTTCCAAAGTCTTTACGCGTTCACGGATCTTTCGACGTACGCGTTCACACCACGTGGTTCATCACAAGTCACACACGCAACGACGATCGTATATTTTATTTATCGTAGACGATTGTTCGCTCCGTCCCATCCATGCTGCTTCTTTTTATCGGATGCCGTCACAAAACGTCGATTTTCACTCTCCCTTTGACGACGTTAAAAAAAAAATCGAACTGGGCTACAGAGTATCGTAAACGCAGGAATAAACTTATGTTCGCGAACACGATTTCTCGAGGCAACGTCCGAGAATGTTTCTTTGGTCGTCGACGAGGAGGGAAGTTGTCTTTCCGTAGAGCGTCCACCGTTCGTAAAAAGGTCGGTATATCCTCGCGGTACGAGCGACGGTGACGGACTGCGAGTCGACGAGCGGTAGCTGGCGGCTGTTCGGCAAGATTCGCGCGTGTGTGAGTCGTGAACGAGAAGCCGGGAACCGCACGGAGGATCGCGCCGCGGTTGGTCGTGCGTGAGGCGGGGGTCCGATGGTGGCTGCTTGCCAGAACCGCTGCCGTCAAGGGGCTGAGACAGAGGATGAGGATTCGCTTGCCCACTCACGCGCGCCCTTGCTTGCGGCTACCTATTCTATCTCACCCTATCCCTCCGCCTCCTCCTCTTTTCCTCCTCTCTCTCTTTTTCAGCCCCCTCCCTCCCTCGCTCTCCTTCCTATCGTTTTCTTTCTTTTCTCTCTCTGCCATTTCTAGCGAGTTGCTAGTTGCATGCGATCCACCTTGGTCCCAACCTTTTCTCTCTTTTTAGCGATACCGTTTACCGACTAACAATCGTGACGCGTCATTAAGGAGCTGGCTGTGTTGCTTTCGGAAATTCAAAAAGATCTCTTCTGCTTTTTAAATTTCGTACGGGAACCGGTCTAAATGCGACGCTCTAAATATGGGATAGTCCAAGTATAGTTTTACCTTTCCATGCTATGGAGCCATGAAGAAACGCTAACAGTCGCTTGTATTTTATCGTTAACGCCAAATGCGCAGTTTTATTTAATAGGTTTTATCGACACGCTCGGTTTCTTTCTTTAACAATAATCTGTTGGGAGAGGTAATTTGTTAAGACCGCTATATTGCCAACGTTAAAAGGTTGTTCATCGCGAGTTACGTAACGCATACCACCGTAGCGGCGATAATTGCCATTGCTCTAAACGTCCCTGAGCAAATACTATAAATGCGGGCTACGTATCTAGTTCCATGGGTTATCCACTATTTAAACCGCGTTTTGATACATTTCGCCCACTACTCTAAAGTGTATTCGACAAAATAAATTCGGACCACTTCTCTTAAAACGGAGTACGAAACGATAAAAAAGTTGCAGAAGAATTTAAGAATAATTAATCGTACGTCGATCAAGAGCTCCTGGTTGTTTTTAACTGGAAAAACAAAGCGATGACGGTAAAATTATGGCGACAGAAGCTCGTCTGCATCGAGTCTTGTACCCAACAACGGCAAACTGGCGGTAATCCAAACGCAGCCAAAAACGTCTTACTACGATATATTTTTTACCGTAACGCGACTATCTACGAGTTATCGAGTTTTACTCGCGTATCTCGCTCGTAAGGACACCTTCGAAAACGCGACACGACTTTAGTAATAATCGCGATAAGTTACGCGTGGTTGCTTTATGGCGTGTCTCCTTCGTGGACTTCTTTCGCTACTTGTCCGACTACTTCTTTCGCTACTTGTCTGACTACGCGGCCATCTACTCGTCTGACCATCTCTTCGCTGCTTGTCCGACTACCTGTCCGATTCTTCTGCCGACCACTTATACTACTGTCTGTCCAACTACCGGTCTGACTCGTCTTTGGACTACTTGTCCGACTATCCTCGAGTACTTGTTCAACTATCCGTCCATCTCCGTCGCTACTCTCCCTCGTCGGCTTACCTGTCCGACTATCCCGTTGCCTACTGGTCCGACCACTCGTCAAACCACCTGTCCGACTAACCCTTCATTACTCTAACTATCCGTCGGACTACCTGTCTTGCCATTCCCTCGAATACTTGTCCGACTATCGTCTCTCTACTTCGAGCCGACTATCCATCGACTATCAGGCTGTCTGCTGTCTGTCTGTCCATGCGATGGCATTTCCTCCCTCTTCCCGTGGAGTTCCGTCGATTTTTTGCTCGTTCTTTCTAGCTTGCTGGCTCTCGCTGCGAACGAAAAGGCGGCGATGGTAACGGCAGCAGGCAGGTCGTGTGCGTGTGACTGGATATGGACGAGGATAACGCCGTGGCGCAGGGAATTACGACGAGTTGCCGAAGAAAAGCGGCGGTGGGATGAGGGCGAGTGATGGCTCGTTGTCGGTAGCGGCACGGCACGAGCCAG